GCCCTGGGCTCTTGTGGAAAAGCTCCAAATGATTTGAACTGTCACCTGTACTGAGGTTGTAGGGAAGGCTAAAATACGACAGGACATCGGCTCATTTCAGTGATCAACTCTCACCCAAGACACTTTCAGAAAAGAAGCAAAGTGGAAAATATGTTCTCCTTCTGTTTATTTGTCCCAAAGGTTTAAAAAAATCAGCTTTATGGAACCATAGTCTTCCTCATGACAGATGGGCTTATACATTAGCATCGTGCTTCCAATCGACAGTTTACATTTCACAAGGAAGGTGAAGAAACTGAAAGTAGAGACATTTTCTGCATCTATTTGTCATTTTTCAGTTTTATAACATTGATACAAAAAATAGTATTCTGATTAGCAGCTGGATTGGCAACCCACATAACCCTAAGGAGTCCTACAAACCTGAAGAGTGCACTTTTACAGACAATTACGTTTGGTGAAAGAGTATGTACAATTCTGACAAATAAATACATAAATACAATCATTCATATATAATGATATACCTAAATGTCAATTATCATCCACAAGCATTTCTAGTAAATTACTTCTTTCATTCACAAGTACTTTGCTGCTTATAAAAACTGTCTTCACCTTTACAGAAGAAATGACATAATCAATTTCCCCACTAAACCCACATATTAGGAAAGATAGAAAATGAATCCCAGATGCTTTATGTAAATATTCCATTGTCTTTTGATAGAAGAGATTTGATTGAAAAAATTCCTTCCTTAGCTTCTCTGTAAAGAGTTTCTTCTCCCCACATCATATCACGCAAAGGGGTTTTGTTCTTCTGAATTTATTCCAAATTGAAAATGATCTTCACTTTTTGATTCTGGTTATTTAAAAATACAATAATATATATTGAAACCTGCATTTGCTCCAATATCAGAAGACACAAAGCCACACAAACTAGCCACCAAAGATCAAAAGTTTTTTTTCCAAAAATAAAATTTTAAATGGAAATTTAAGAGTAGAGACATGAGTTATTAATACTTTTTTGTTATCCAATGCAAAATGAAGAAAAAACAGGTGGGGGGACAGTCAGAAGGTTTTTGTAAACACCATCTGAATGACTTCTGGTACAATGCTGTGTGAAACACCATTTTATGTCAAAGAAATTGATCATAAATTAAAAAATAGCTTCACAAAGAAATAAAACCATCATTTGGCCAGTGTCATAAAACTAACAACAGTAGAAAATTAGAGCTTTTTCCTGATTACTTGACTTAACCATTTCTGGAACATTCCAAAAACAAAGGGTAAACATGCTTTAGGCTATTGAAACACAGGACAAATGGCTTTGTCTCACCAAGCTCCATGCAGAAGAAAAATGTCCATAGCAAGCAGATTCTAGCTATACGTACAGCTGAGGAGAAAAAAAAATGCCTTTAAAATATATACACGTGGTCTTCAATGAATATTTACATGTTCATCATGTGGGTACTACTTAGCATAAAAAAGTTAGGAAACAGTCCTTTAAGACATGATTTTCTGATTTTTGCTCCTTTTAAAGATTAGGGCTCTATTCATAATGTACTCACACACACACACATAAAATAATTCACAGATGTACACATACAATGCTAATAATGTGCAATTCCTCGACACTGAAGGTGCCTTGACTGAGCATAAGGTAAATGCAAGATGTTGGTATGAGACTGAGGCTTGATTCAACTACACGCTTGACGGGCGAACCAAGTTCAAAGTCATGAGACTTTCCCAGTGATTGGGACTCACAGCAGTTGAGGGTTGGGGGTTGGAGGGTGGCTCGCCTTGTGCGGATCCATCTCTCCCCGGGCTACCTAATGCTGTTTTCTAATCAAACCCAGCAGTCCTGCTGACTTGAGATGAAGATGAGTTAAGGGACAGGAAGGCCTGTCTCCTATTGGGTTCTCTTGGGCTGGAGAGAAGACATCCAGTGTTTTCAAGAAATAAGCCATGACTTCCATTTGTACATTTGGTCTGCATGTTTGCTATCAACTGCTAGGGGAGCTTGCAAAAGTCAGGTTAAAAAAAAGAGTATGCTTTTTCAGTTGTGGAGTTTTCTTTGAATGAAAAGAAACAGAAGTTTTATAATGAATAGCAGAAATGTGTGGTGTAGGGCTTAGACAAGTGTCTAGTCTTCTGCTAGAGGTAGACTAGTTCTACCAGTCCTCAAAGCTCTTACTGAGAATTCAGATCAAATGTTTCCTGAGCTCTAAGTTGATGTGATACATTTTGCAAAGCATGTGCTTCAGTGACTGCAATGTACCCCCAGCCAGAGGCTCCTCCCCAAAGAAAGGCAGCTGCTTTCCCTTCCAGCACCCTGCGATAGCAAGGCGATGCACTGAAGTAATAACTGATTCATTGAAACCAGAAGAAATGACAGAGAAATTGAAGCTTACCCAAATACCCAACATACTCAAGGAAAAGTCAAAATCTTAGAAGAATCAGGTGCACTAATAATTCATATCTGATCTTTATTTTGGCAGATTTTACATTAAGATGGTGTTACTACTCCTAGTGACCATCACTGTGATTATGCGATTATTTTAGCATTTAGCATAATACAGGATACGTTGCATTACGTAGCACCTTTGAAACTAAGGATCTCAAAATACTAACAAATGCGATTTGCTCTCACAGCACCTGTGAGGTAGGTGTTTTTCCCAACCTTTTTATAAGTGAGCAGAGTGAAGCACAGCCAGGTGAGGATGCCTGCTCACGTGACCCACGGGATGGCATCAAGAATGTGAACCCAAACTTATCCATCCTTCCTTTCCATAAACCTCAATCACAGAGCTTCCAGAACACCCCTCAACAGCATCACTGTTAGAGATACTTGGCTGTTTTGGATGTTGGAGAGATTATATCTATCAATAGTAGGGCTAAATCCTTCAATAACATTGCTACCCATTAAAGTATTTTCTCACATGCTTTGCAAATGTACGGAAGGTGCTGAGTTTGTGTTAATTATAATGCATGTATAAATTTGTATTTTCTCCATGGTATTTATTGTTCTTTTGGCCTCCTATCAACTTACTTCTACACATGTGCCTGCTTGAGCCAGAAACTTTCCAATGTGTTTAGCAACATGGTATGGAGGGAAAGCAGGTGAGATTACATTTGGCAAAGTCTCCTTGGAGGCACCAGGTTATGTTTGTTCTGAAAGAGCCAAAAAAAAAAAATCTCCTGTTTATTTTGTTAAGTAGCATTTTATATACATTCCACCCGCTGACCAGGTTTAATTCTTGGATGAGCAAGCAGAGTTGTCTTCCGAACATAGAGAAGATTTGATTCTCAAGTTTAAATTCCCATTTATTTAACTGCAGCCTTCCTGCCAGCACTAAGTTCATTTCTTGATGGAACTACAAATACTGTACACATTCCATGGTAATACAGGTAAAAATTCAATGAAACAGCACAAACAATATTAATAATCACATCCAGTGTGTCTCCCTGACTGTGCATTATGTCTGAATTATGTTTGAAAAAGTGTTATTTACTTATTTATTTCCTTTTGCAGAGATGATATGAAGACATTACCGTGAGTGCCAGTTTCCCAGAACCAGATTTTTGATCTCAGATGTATATAAATCGTAGTGGTTGTTAGGAAGTTGCTTTTTGAGATAAATGCAATACCTTAGGACCTGAGAATGAAACCTGGCCCTTTTAACTCATGTATTATTTCTCTGACCAGAGCTTAACATTTGTAGATTGGTAATCCAAGAAAGGAACTAGCAGTGGGAAGAAAAGCACTTTTTACAAAACCCCTTCACCAGTTCACTTCCCCTGGTGACACCTGTAAAACACCTACACCCTAGGCCTCATTTCTTAAAAAAGAAAAGAAATGTATTTACACTGGTAAAAATCCTAACATCTGAGATGTTTCTTGCTTGACATGTCATTCCAGATTCTGTGCATTTCTTCTGGCGAGATCTGATGCACGGTGATAACTCGGCGGTACCTACACAAACTGTAGGCCATTTTCCAGTGATTGAAGCCACTGTTCTGGAAAGGATGTATGCCCAGCTTGCGAAGACACAGTCCCACGTATACATCTTCAAGGTGGAGCAGCCTTGTGTGGAGTGAGGTCTTGTAAATGAGCTCAGCCACATCGGCTGAGAAGATATAGCCGGTCCCCGAGCAGAATGGTGGGTAGTTACTGTCCGGGTACAAATCCCTGGGCATATACCACTTACTGCGGACGTCCCGGATGGGCCCTCCGTTGATGACGTAGCCAGTAAAATATCTCCGTCTTGGTTTGGTGGAGGGTTTTAGCAGTTTATAAATCAGGTTGTCCATGTTTACAAAAATGTCACTGTCTGTTTTCATGACATACTTGGCTTTTGAACAAAAAGTGGCCACCCATCTCATCCCCATTAATGTTTTGAGGGTAAGATTATGGTAGGAATCAATGAAGTCCTCCACGATGATGTCGTGAAAGATCTGGCTCTCTTGCTCCACCATCTGATTGAGAACAGGGTCAGCATTCTTGCCCAGGAGGAAGAGCGTGGCTATCTTGATCCCTTTAAAGTTGTTCTCATCCCCCCACGTCTCTCGGATCGCTTGGCGGGCATCAAATTCTTTATGGGTCGTGCTGATGAGGATAACAAGGAAAGGAATGCTTTTCTCACATTTGTTGGGCTCGTTTATAAGAAATTCAAAAGAATGTGGGTTTATAGGTCGAGTTCTTATGTTGCCAAAGGTGAAGTTTTTCCTGGCCACGGTCAGATGGCTGAACGGCTTGGAGCCAGTGTAGGAAGAAGTAGGGCGAGTTACACTCAAGTACCAGAGAGCGCTGGCCCAGCACACAACTGTCAAAACATACAAACAGGAGACCTTGGAAGCCATTGTCTTGAGAGCACGTCTATTCCCAATATTGAAGAATATGCCTTCTTGGCATTAGTTTTTTTTCATTTTGCAAAGGCAGCATATTACTAGTAAAGCTTAAAGTCTGATGGAGAAGTGTGAGGGTGGGACTGTCCATGGGGCTCAGTAGCCGTCTGTCATCTCTGCATTGACTCTACTTTCTCCCAAACCTGATGGAAGTTCCCGTGCCTCATAAATCTTCCACTTAACTCTGCAAAATCAATAAAGTATGGTTGTCGTTCAGATTTAGTCATTTTGCATCCTCAAATAAACACAAGGGTCAGAGAAGTACCCAAGCTGATTAAAATAAACATTCATTTCCATCAGTACTGAAATCTCCCTGATACAACCCTCCTACCTTTTTTTCCCTTGATAGACATTGTTTGTGGATATTCCTACCCAATAACACGTGGACTGTAAGCTCTAGATGAACACGAAATAAACTGAGTATCTGTCATTTTAAAAAAGCTCCCTCTCTTCACAAGAGGCCTTCTTTGCAGTTAAATGTTTTCCGACTCTGAAGTCTTCTTTCAACCAGTAGAGTCTCACAGCTACATATCTTCCATTTTTCCCAAGTCTAAGGTTTTGTTTGCTTGGCTCTGATGATCTAATCAGCCCCCACCCTCTCCTTGCTTTCTCTAGCCCCGTACTGGGAACTGTGTCGATCATCACTGGAAATCTTCACTGAAGTGGTCTCCCTTGGCTCTGACTTAGAAGTAATTCCCATCTTTTCCTCACTCTCCCCTTACTTTGGCTCTCACAGTTGTTAGTTCCTAATTCTCAGTTATCTATGACTCTTCGTATAGAATATCCTTAGCCCTCACGCATGGAGACCTCGGCCCCAGTGTCCTTCAGACAGCCAACAGCATTCATTTTGGAGCTGACCTAAATGGTACTGCTTTTTGTGGTTTTCAACAATTCACCCTTATGTTCCCTTGATGAAATTTTACTGTTCACTTCTAATTCCTTTTACTTAGCTACATTTGCCTATAAACCCAGCAGGAGTATAAAGGAGAGACAATTGAGCTTGGGGGCCACAAATCTAATGGAGACATGACAGAGCCATTTCACTGGTGTTCATATTAAAAAGCTGTCCTTCACAATCCTAATCCTTTCTAGAACTTCAGCTGCTGTCATGCCAGTTAAAAAAACATGCCAGGTTACAAGAGCCATTCATGTAAAAAATTCTCTCTTCCTTCCTAGTTAGATCAAAACGTGGTTAGGTAGTCTTGGAAGACAGAGGTAGCAGATAATGGGTATCAATTTCAACAAAGTCTGCTCTGAAGACAACCATGTGCTTAAATGTACACACTGTGTTGAAAGACTGTAACTGGGATTATAGATCGAAAATCAGGCTTCCAAGTATAACAGTCATAATGAAATGAAAAGACACGATGAGTAACAGCAGAGATAACACACATCATCTTGACTAGGCCAAGAGCTGACTGTGAATGTATGATCCATATGAGACCAGCAATAAATAACTCAGCGTAGTCATGGTCCTAAGTAAATGCGTATTAGAATGGCTTCAAGCAGCATGACTCTGGGCACAGTCAGGCCTTCATCCAACCCATAATAAGTACTCTCTAAATTTAAGCTCTAGTATCCGTGGCCTTCTGGAGGGAATTTCTGCCTGAAGGTGCATTGAAGCTGATAAAAAGAAGGAAGTGATGTGCAGCAAGCTTTGAAACTTCAAACAGTAAGGCACAGGATGTGATTCAAATCAGCAATGGACAGCTTAGGAAGGTGCTCCCCTTGGGATCTACACTGACCCCATCTGAACTCCGAAGGGATGTGAGTAAGTCTCAAGGTGGTACCAGAAACCAAACTTTCTCCACCATTGTCCTAGCCTAGTATTTGATTCTTATAAGCCTACCTTTATCATCACACAGCACTGGTCACCTTTCATACTTTCCTACTGAACTGTGAACCACCTATGACTGAGCTGTTGAGGGACTCCCCAAAAGTATCACCTGGAAGAGGGTGCTGTCAAATTCTCTTCTGTAATTGCTCATCAGGCTATCAATGAGGGGCCAATGGTGTGTGCCAAGTATTGGAAAAACAGATATAGAATCCATACACCTCCTCAAGGAACTCACAGTCTAGGAGGAAAGACTTCAAGTAAGTGACTAAACAGCAGCATACAGTTTTCCATCATGTGGCTAATGTAGTACGTAGGAGAGGTGGGCTGGTGGACAGGGTATGGGAGAACTAGGTACAGCACTGCAGACTGTGCACAGCACAGCTCCAAAGGGCACCGTTCTCATAGACTGCATGAATCCCATTCCTCCATCCCATCCTGGAGCCAAACAGTGAGGCTGCCGTGGGGAGGAAGCCATGGGAAGTTCAAAAAGTTATTTGAGTAGAATCGCCAAGGACATCGAGGAGTTATCTGACAAGGGTCAGGCATTCTAGGCAGAAGGAACAGCATATACAAAGGCATAAAATGAGAGCGCCTGCTGTGTGCCTTGACTACAAACTAAAGGAAGAGGACAAGACGATGGGGTGGTGAGGGCTGGGGCTAGCAAGATGGCTGGGGCCAGGTGGTGAGTGGCACCCAGAAACTGTTCTGAGCTGAGTAGCTGGTTACCCCTCTTTGCAATCTAAAGGGTGTAAAGGAGGATTTTACCTTCCCCAATTCTGTCTGTTGATTTCAATAGCAATTCATTCTTCCATTTTTAAGGACATCTATCTCCCACATTTCTATGCCCCAGAAGAGTAAGTGAAAATTGGTCTTATCTGATATCTTTCTGTATGATTTTCTCGGAGAAGGGACTCCATAAACACAGGGACCTGGGGAATTTTAAAAAAGCTAAAAGAGGGGGGAACATAAGAGAAACAGGTGGGAGTATAAATAAGGTGTATGTATTTATACACACTTTTCATAGAAGAACGAGCCTTCTTGCCTTGACAGCTAACCAACATGATACTTCTTACCACTGTTACTGTAGGTCTCATTTAAAACGTGTACAGTTCACCAAGTATTACACTATGTGCTGTGTTCTCTGCCATGAATTTTATAGAGCTTTGTCTCTCATAGTGTTACGAGAGGTATTTTCTCCATTTTACAGGTGAGAGAATGGAAATTCAGAGATACTAAGTTCAAGACCACAGGACAGGGGAGTGACTAGGGAAGTGGGCCCCCGGAGCATCCCGAGGCCTAATGGTAGGACAACAGGCAAAAGCTTGCATGGGAAAGCCCAGGGTGGAAGGGAGCGTCTCAGACTGCTATTTTCCCAGTGACCCAGGGGTCTGTTTTCTTAGATGTATGTCCATTGCTTGAATTTTTTCTAGTTCATTCTGCTTTGCTATGCACCACACTACACCAATTCTGTGGGGATCCTTTATCATGAAAAAATGATGATTTGCAAAGAGCCCATTAAAGTTTCAAGATGCTGGGTGGCAGGGGGGAGGGGGAGAGCTGCAACTGCTGAAGAGGTTTAGAAACACTTTGCAGTTCCCGTGCTCTGAAGTCCTGCAACACAGACACACAGACACAAGACACACACCACACACACACACACACACACGCACAGAAAGAATCCCTCTTTCTACTGACTGCTTTTTTTGAGACAAGAACAAAAGTAGGCACAGTGTTATATCTTGGTCACTAGTAAATGCAAGTTATCACAATAAAAAGGTAGGATACAAAATGGGGAAAGGAACCAGCCTAGAATCTGAAGAACAGCCAAAGATAATGAGGACCTCTAGCAAGGGATGCTAAGAAATGTCCTTTTTGCTCACAACCAAACAGGTTTCTCTTTTTTGGTGGCTACACAAGCACAAAAATATGCCTCTGGACCAGAAATGTACTCTAAGTAAGGACAGGACAGAGTAGCCCGGTGCATTTAACTCTACGGTGTAATTTCACGTATGTTGGATGAAGCGGTTGGTAAAGCGCCAGATGTCCATGTTTTACTCTTTGAGTAATCTTAACGTGCTGTGTTCTTTCTGTGCCTCAGTAGCCCTAGGTATCAAATAAAGGCAAAAATAGCACCTGCTTTATTTCTAAATACGTATTATAGGTATTAATGATCACCATTAATTGCGTTCCCGGGGAAAGAGTGCTATACGGGCAGATGGTATTAGGATATAAAGAGCAGGTTGAAATAGGGACGAGGGGGTTATGTCAGTTCATCAGTTCGTGATTTAGGATCCAGACACACATATCGATCGACTCTTCTAAATACATAGCACTGCTGTCAGTTTTTTGGTTTAGTGACTACACTGTTCATATTGTCCTGCTAGAGAATTCTATTTTCTTCCTGTAAAACTCAAAGCCAAAGAAAGGTCCACTGAACAGCTAGGAAAATTGGTGGGCTGAAAAGTTCGGGGGAAGGATCTGAGTGTCACAAAGCAGCATCCTGCAGGGGTTTCTTTCAGTTTTACAACACTGAAAAAAAAACCCTCTTTAATAGACACGTTAATGTATCAGTAAAATAGAAAGTTGCACATATAACGTTTGTTATTCCTTTTGGCAGCCTTACCACAACCACAGACACTGATGACACATTAACTTGTCATCTATTAATACAAATTCCTCGACACTGAAACGTTTCAAAGGAGAACATTTGAAAGACTCCCCTGCAGCCAGGGGTCTTAACTGTATTGCAGTTTACGTCATTCACAGAATCCTTCAGTAACCACCCACCCTCACATTTCAAGAAGTTAAGGGGGTGGAATTTTCAATTTAAAAAGCATATGTTTCTCCTAGAAATCGTATGGTAGATTGCCTATTACTTTGAGGAATTTATTATTTTATTAAAAGCCCCTGAATTTGCAAAAAGGCCCCTTGTATGGCCAGAGGTCAGTCCTAGGAGCAAGTGGGTTGTGTCCCTTGGGTAACCTGTGCATAGTTAGGTGCCAAGTTCATATCCTTCTCCATCATGGTTCAGGCAGGCACAAGTCAACACCGATCTCCTAAGCCTCAGCTGCCACTGAGTCGGCTCAATTATTCCAGCTGCCCCATACCCAAGGGCAAGGCTGCAGGAGCCCCAGAAAATAGGCCTGCTGCCACTCTCTGGTGTCTCAAGGAATATAGTATCTCACTTCATTTGTTCATCGGAGATGCACTGAACACCGGTTGATGCCAGGCACTCCTCCAAGCCAGTAAGACAGATGGGGCTGGGTGCTTACTTTCTAGTAGATGAAGGCAGAAATTAAACACATGATAAATGAGTGCACAGAGACTCTTAGGCAGAGGTAAGTGCTGTGATGTAAATAAAGTGGAACAATGGGCTAGAGCCTGAATAGCAGTGGGAGGGGGAGGGGGCTACTTTAAATAAATCGGTCACACTCTGAGGAGGTGACATTTGAGCTGAGAATAGAACATTTAGCTATCTGTGGTTCACTCCTTAAGTCTTTTCCTAAATTTTAGTTCCTTCTCTTCCTTCTCTTGGCTCTTTGGTTCATGTGTCTGTTTTTGTGCCAATATCATGTTTTGATAACTGTAGTTCTGTAGTATTGTCTGAA